AATCGCGCGGACTGGTAACACGGACGGAATCATCGTGCGGGCGTGGATGCTCTGGCCAATCGCGTGGACTGGTAACACGGACGGAATCACCGTGTGGGCATGGATGCTCTGGCCAATCGCACGGACTGGTGACACGGGCGCATGGAATAATCGCTCGGGCATGGGTGCCTTGGCCAATCGCACGGACTGGTAACACTGACAGAATCATCGTGCGGGCATGGATGCTCTGGCCAATCGCACGGACTGGTAACACGGACGCGTTATCGTGGGCGTGGATGCTCTGGCCAATCGCACGGACTGGTAACACGGACGGAATCATCGTGCGGGCGTAGATGCTCTGGCCAATCGCGCGGACTGGTAACACGGACGGAATTATCGTGGGCGTGGATGCTCTGGCCAATCGCACGGACTAGTAACACGGACGGAATCATCGTGCGGGCATGGATGCTCTGGCCAATCGCACGGATTGGTAACACGGACGGAAATATCGTGGGCATGGATGCTCTGGCCAATCGCACGGACTGGCAACACGGACGGAATCATCGTGCAGGCGTATAAAGATGCTCTGGCCAATCGCACGGACTGGTAACACGGACGGAATCATCGTGTGGGCATAGATGCTCTGGCCAATCGGACGGGCTGGCAACACGGACGGATTCATCGTGCGGGCGTAGATGCTCTGCATGGCCAATCGCACGGACTGGTAACACGGACGGAGTCATCGTGTGGGCATATAGATGCTCTGGCCAATCGCACGGACGGAATCATCGTGCGGGCATGGATGCTCTGGCCAATCGGACGGAATCATCGTGCTCGCACGCAAACAGGAAAACGTGGCAAATTCAGCGGTGCTGAAAGACAATTATCCCCCCCCACCTCCCCCCCCCTGCCTGAGCGGCGCCATCGGTCAAACACCAGGAAACAGCCGAAGCGACCTGGGAATCTGTGCGCGTGTCAGCAACTAACTCCTAGACTGCTAGACACAACTGCCTGTAGTCTCGGGAAGGCAACTCAGTTTGAAGTAGCACATCGCACAATTATTGGTGTTTTTCCCCACCCTCCGTGAAAGGTTGTTCGGTTTGAACGGTGGCAAATCTTTTCGCCCAGGCCTCCTGCAATTTTCTTCGTTGGTTGCTGCGCTCCCTGCCTGGGTCTACTGGCCTGAGTCTTCCAATCGAATGTTGTAAATAGTCACATGAGCAGTGTGGCATTCAAGACAAATATGCCTCAAGGATCATGGGTGGCACTGCGCATGCCCTCCTTTTACAAACAGTCGACATGAAGCGCCGCGCGCGTGTGTCAGCCCGAGCTAGTACTGTCGCCTAGCAGCCGGAATTGCCGAGTGACTTCAAACATCGGACAGCAGACAACAGTTGCCTGCGAGTGTGTTCTCGCGCTCTCGCACAGGAGTATGGTAGGCTTCACAGGTGGCCGCTGATAGAACCGCTTCGCATACTTAATCGATATGCTTTGTCTGTTCCATCATTCGATGCGGCGCCGCTGCCTCGTTTTTTTTTGAGAGTCTGCGGCTTGGCACAGGAAGCAGCAATCATGATGGCAATGGCTCCAATGCCATAAGCATGATCACATCAGAATAGCGCAAACCACGCATGCCACAGACATGCGGCAAACAGAATGCGCCGGAATGCAGCCAAAAACACATTCAGAGTGACCAATGGCTGAATGGCCTGAAAGCATGGGGCGCGCGCCCCGACAACTGGCCTTCCCAGCCTTTGGCGTGGTTCCGGCCTCAGGCTTTCAATGAGCAAGGAGTAAAGGGCGAATGGCAAAGGAGTTTGGAACTGGGATGGGAATGGCCTTCTCGAGGCACTTGCGGTGTCCTCGCTGACCTTTGTGCTTCCCAGGCCATGCTGAAGTGATCTGCAATGTGTTCCACATCATTCTGTGTTTTATGCCGTTTCGTGCGTTTCAGACCAGGAAGTGCATGTCAGCCCACTCATGCCGGGGTAGGACATAGCGGGAATCATGCCTGGGGCCAAGGCGCCATAACGCAGCATGAGGCACCAGAAGGCACCCCACAAAAACTCCGCTATCAAAACGCCGAAGGCTCAGCTCTCAGCATCAAGAAAAGATCGCAAAGAGCGTCCTTGCAAAAAGACACCTTAAAAGCATTCGGTCAAGCAGCTAAAGGCTGTAAGTCCATTCGTTGGCAATCATTCAATAAAGACCTTGAGAGGCAGCCAGGGAGCCTTAGAAGCGCCCCCGGCTCTGCTACACGGTGTCTCGGCCACAAAGCAGGACTTGGGGTGTGTGTTTTTTCAGGCTCGGTGCATGTGCGCACAGAGAAACATGCATGCTTGTGTGTGCACATGGATTGCTGCAGCGCTCATCGTCGATCTCCGCAAGCAGAGGCCGGCGGCCCTGACCGCGCCAACATCCGGTCCAGCTCTGACACAGGTGGGGGTTTCCGAAATTATTGGGTACTTGGGGTCCTTGTTCTTCAGGAATCCTGCTATTTGGGGGTCTATATTGGGGGTCCCTTACTTTCGTGAACTCTCAGGTGAGTTGCACCAGCAGATGTTGGCCATTGCAGCTTGGGGTAGTTGTGGGTTTTCAGGCTCGGAGCCTCCCAGAAACCAACAAAGAGGCTTTCAACCTGGTTAGTGCCTCCAGATTTGTCCGTAGGCTTGGGGGGCTTCTGGCTCTCTTTTGCGCTTCACAGGGCTGTAGACGTTCCGGACTTGCTCCGGCATCTAGGCGTGCAGCGGGTTGAACAATAAGTGCAGGTCTTTCCAGACACCGCGCTGCACTGTCAAATGGGCATGTGCACCAAACTCGTTTGAGTATGCCATGCTATATGGTGTTTTATGCAGCCAGCACGTTCGACTTTTGCCCAAACTCCCAGCTACAAGAGAGCCAACGTAACAATGGTCCTGCCAAAACCCTAAACCCTAAACCCTAAACCCTAAACCCTAAACCCTAAACCCTAAACCCTAAACCCTAAACCCTAAAACATGTGGAAGGACTTGCCGCTCTTCTCCAGCAGCCTCAGGCAGATCCGACTCTCATTGTCTAGTGAATCCCTGGATTTGTGGTCAGGTGTTGAGTCAGCAAGTCTGGGCATGGTGGGGGGTGGCCCTCCCCACTGCTTATTTTGTGATAGTGGGGGGAGGGAGGTTTCGGGGGGGCCCGAAAGAAAGGGCTTAAGGGTCGAGGGTTCGGGGGGTTGAGGGCTTCAGCGTCTGGCTTGGATTTTCAGAGTTGACGGCAGAGTTCAGGGTGGGTCGGGGAACCGTTGGGTGGTAGTAAAATTAGTACTTTTGTGATTTGATTGTGATCTGTTCTGTGAATATGTAGTGATGTTGGACATGGTGGTGAAATATTTCTGAAGAGAGTAAATGCATAGTGGAGTTCGTGTTGAAATTCTGATTCATGAGTGAAGAAAAGGTTCCCCTGAGTCCACCCCTTTTACGGAATTACTGTCTTGCATCGAAAAGCACCTCGCAGGAAGCAAAACTCTCTCGCAGGAACCACAAAGCTCTCTCGTAGGAAGCGCCGAGCTCTCGTAGAACGTTGCTTCCAAAGCATGCTCCGGCCTCTTTCTGAGTCTCTTCTGAGTCCCCCTTTTGTCCCTTTTTTCTCTTTTTTCAGTCTCGTGGCGTTGTTGGCCTTGGTCCCGGCTCTCGCCGGTCGCAGAACCCTCAGTCCCTCCAGTTGAGTTGCACGACTTGCTTCAGTCACTTCAGGTGAAGTGTGTTGGGGGGCGGCTTCAAAGGTTGTCTTAGTAGTAGAGTGGGTAACCTTTAACCTTCTTGGGTTAATATATTCCCCGTAAAAACCCAAAGGTTCACCTTTAAAACCCCTAGGTACTGGACAACTAAGTTGTGGTTTTGCAAGGAGAGATGTGCCCAAGTGAGTGTGGAAGGTTTGCGGCGCAATTGGACGAAGATAAGTGTTGGAGCCGGCATGGCGGTTTGAGAGCAGAAAGCCGAAGGTTGACTTCTGAGGCACTGTGAAGCCAAGATCTCCCTGAACCCCAAACTCTAAACCCTAAACCCTAAACCCTAAACCCTAAACCCTAAACCCTAAACCCTAAACCCTAAACTCTCATGTGAGCTTCCCCGTCTGCGCCCCGAGGATCGCCCAGGACCAGGAAGGGCAAAGGCATCAGGTGTGCTGGGCTCAGCATGTCTCGACTTCAGGGTTTAGGGTTTAGGGTTTAGGGTCTAGGGTCTACGGTTTAGGGTCTAGGGTTACAACCCCCCGCCCGCCGCCCCCCCCCGCCCCCCCCGCCGATCTATACAGTCGATCACTTTGCAGGCAAACGCTCTCAATGCGCCTTACAATTTTCCATGCTCATCCACTCATCCACCTCTTGAACACATTTCCATGGGGCCGTGTTTATAAAAACATCCCAAACAGTGGCCATTCAAGACCGCAGGCTTACGGGAAATGCAGGTATCGGCTGGCAATCCCTTTGAAAAAGTCGGCCGGCCGTATGAGGGTTTAGCTCGAAATTGGCACATCATCTGTAGCCTATTCTGAAAGGTTTGCGTAGACATTGGGCTGCACCGTTGTTGTTGTTATTATTATTATTGTGTTTTCGTCGTTGATACTGCTTATTGGCTTAAATGGGCTGATTCTTCTTGATGTCGTCACTTTGTGGTTCGTGTTACATCTCCTTAAACGGCACTAACACCGTTGCTACGATTCTTGTCCGTGTTATGTTTGTAGCTGCTTTTCCTCCCAGCTCCGTTACGATCATTGGTGTTCGTGTTCTTCCTGTTGCTACAGGGGTTGAGCCGACGACTGCGGCTGTGATCTCCTAGCTGATGTTGTGGCTCTGACGTTCCGTATGGTCTTCATGACGTTGCTACGCCTCCGGGCACCCCTTATGCTTGCAAACTGCGGCCACGACTCGTCTTCCGGACTGGGCCCCACGTCGCAAGCCAGCGCCCAGGTGTCGCTTTGCAGGCGACGAAGACCAAGAGTGGCGAAATCGCCAAGTCTGGGAGCCCGGCTGACGAGAGTTGCAAGTCGAACTCGGTGGGGGGGAGGGAGGGTTTTGCATTGGCTTAACTTGGAGTTTTACGCTTGCAGGGTACCGCTCGAACTTTTGTAGGGCCTTATCTTGAAGCCTTTCTGCACGTCCAAGAGTTCGACGTATTGGCTCCAGACGTTGGGAAATGGGAAACGGGAAAACGCATCTTACTCCCTCGGCAGGGTTCGCAGGTTCTTGCGGGTTGTGGCCATTCCGAGGCTTCTCTAGGTTTGGTCAGGGAGTACACGTGACATGGCAGGGTGCATGTACACTCCGCGCTGTTAGCACGAGATGACCCGCGCGCCACAAGGAAATCTGAAGTCCCTGAAGATCTCGACTGGGGCCAAGTTTCCTCTCAGTGGGAGGTCGGTGCGGCTTGGAGCTTGCCTTTCGGGATTTGGAAGTTGGGGGCAAGCAGACCTTAGCTGCGCTTTTAAGCACGAAGGCGATTTTCCAGAGGGACAGTTCAGAGAGAGACTCGGGGCAAAAAGTGGCGATGCTCGAATGGGCTCCGTTTCGCGCTTGCGGCAGGTCGATTGCTTCAGCCGGCCGGTCATGCGCGATGGGAAGAAGATGTGGGAGTTCTCTGCGCGCGCTTGTGGCAGCCAGTCCAGTATAGCTGTATCGTCACTCTTGTCGTAGTGGTTTCATAGTTGTCCCAATTTCGTAATTAATGTTGTGATCGTGATGATTGCTGTCATTGCGGTTCAGATCGTTGGTCGTTTTTGTGATTGTTGATTGTTTGCATCCTATTCGTGTGTTGAAGCCGGGGTTGCTGGTGCACATTCCAACAATCCGACAATCGTGGTGCGCAGTGTCGTTTTGCAATGTTCGCCTGGTAGGACCTGGGTTCCTCAGGAAGTTTCTGCTGCTACAGAGCCACCTGCTCCAACACTGCAGATGTTGCAGGGCTCCCCCAGCATGGGCTAGTAGGGCTTACAATCCCCCTAGCCAAGCCTACGAAGGGCCTTTTTGAGGGGTTATAGGGTATAATGTAGCCAACCCTATAAAGGGCCTTTTTTAAGGGGTTATTAGGGCATGATGGCCCATGCAGGTCATTCCTCACACAAGGGCGCCCTACTTACTGGTAACCCCTATAGTAGTCCCTCTATAATCCCTTTATAATTCCCTAACCCTAAACCCTAAACCCTAAACCCTAAACCCTAAACCCTAAACCCTAAACCCTAACTATATTCACTCTTCCACTCTCCCTTAAGCGCCAGTAAGCCCTACGTGCCTTTCGTGTTGCCAGGCTCATGGTCACGGATGCCAACGCTGTGTACCGACGCGCCCGGCTCCCGGCTTGGCTCGGAGTTTGTGCTTTTGGTTTAATAATAATAATCATCATAATATTAATAACAACAATAACAATAATTACAATAATAATAATAGTAATAACAATAATAATAATAGCAATAATAGTAGAGTAGATATCTGAAATAGGCAAGCAATATCAACGTGACATTGAAGTGACTCCACATTCAGCCACCCGTTGCCATTGAACTGCCGGGTCTGACAACAGGACACCTAATGTCTGCATGGTGCAGCTCACACCAGCTTCATCTTTTTTTTCCTTTGTGCGAGGTCGCTCAAATGAAGCCTACGCGGGTCAACTCTGTGGTTGTCCTGAGCCCAGCTGGCTGAAATTCTTGTTTGACTCTGCGCCAAGGAGGGAACGAACACACCCCCTGGCCTCTCGTGCCCCCCCCCCCTCCCCTCTCCCCCTCCCCCTCTCCCCCTCCCCCCTCCCCTCTCCCCCTCCCCTCCCCTCCCCCCTCCCCTCGCCTCCCCTCCCTTTCTTGCTCTCTTGCGTTTGTTGGATTGCCGCAGGCTGTACTTCGAATGCAGCTTCGCATGGGAAGATTTTCCTTCTGAGGTGCAAAAGTTGATGACGATCTTCATCGAAGAGTCCAAGGTGAAGCCGCAGGTCGGCGGAAAAAGTGCCAGAAGGGCAAGAAGTGCCGGAATGGAAAAGCAGACAGTGCTAGGAGAGTACTGAGTTTTTTCCTCAAGTCGTGCTTTGTCCGTGTTGTGTGGTGTGGATGATCGATGGATAGTGCAGAGTTTTTTTGCTAGTTCTTCGCAAAGTGCCCATTGTGCAGACCATCCGCTTCTTCCGCAAAGTCATGAAGCGCCTTGGCGACGAAGTGCTTCCAAGCGCAGGGCGTCTGATAGGTTCAAGGCTTTGGAAGGGTTTGGGGTTCGGGTTTAGGGTTTAGGGTTTAGGGTTTAGGGTTTAGGGTTTAGGGTTTAGGGTTTAGGGTTTAGGGTTTAGGTTTAGGGTTTAGGGTTTAGGGTTTAGGGGTTTAGGGTTTAGGGTTTAGGGTTTAGGGTTTAGGGTTTAGGGTTTAGGGTTTTCAAGATGTCGATTCCATTCGACTCCAGCAAGCTCGTGCAAATGTCAGGTTTTTTTGTATCAGAAGCAACTACACGGTTCCAAGGAATATGCTGATCGTCGCGCTGGCAGCTGTTAAGGACACCGGTGCCAGAAATTCTTGTTCCCCTCCCCCCCCCCCCCTTTCTCCCCCCATCTCACACCTCCATCTCACACCCCCATCTCCCCCCCCCCCCCACATCTCCCCCCCCCATCTCCCCCCCATCCCCCATGTCCCCCATGTCCCCCATCAACCCCCCAACAGCGCCTGAAGGCAGAGTGAGGCACCCAAGACCCCGAGAGGTGAGTCGAGGCAGGCTGGGGTCACACGAGTTTGGCTGGCAGCAAGGAGAGAAGTTCATCCCACCTGCACATCCGCAATCTGCCTCATCACCAGCACAGTGATCCGAAAGAGTGCCCAAAAATCAAGAAGTTCGAGAAGGGACCCAAACGGAAAACATGAGCTAGGCTGCCCTCAGTGTTCGGGCCAGGCCCAAGAAAAGTGTGGTGGCTAGGGTACCCAGAGATCTCGGGGAGAGGCCTAAGCACATTTGGGATTGGGGTGACTTGGGGTAGTTAGGGGGTACCCAAAGTTCGGGTAGGCCCCAAATGGTGCAACCACCCCCCACCCCCGCTCCCCCCTCCCCTCCCCCAAACAAGCTCGAAGAAGCCGGCAAACATGCCACAAAAACACGTGCATGAAACACCACGGGCGGCTGTCAGCCGCGATCCAACTACACAAAGAGCCCAATACCCCTTACTCCAGGAATATTCCTTGAATCATAATAAGGATCCCTTGATAATTTAAGCTATATTCCTCAATTAAGGGGTGTTGGGCTCTCTGGGTACATAATGATACACCTACGGACCAGTGAGATGCCCTTATGCAGAGGACACCATGCCGGAGTACTTGGAGAAGTGCAAGATTATACCCAGTGGCAAGCTCAGCTATTCTGGATCTTTTCGGGAAAGTCCAGAGTCAGCTTCGGACCTTCACCCCCCCTTTCCCTGAGCAGGGGTTGGTCCAGGATTTGATCACCAATGCACCTTTCTGTTGAGGCCGAAACTGCCACATGCTCCGGCTGTGGCTCAACTACCGCATGCGCGAGGCTGACAGCCCTGGACTAGTGGTTGTGGATGGTTCTGAGAGAGGGGTTTCCATGAGGTAGCCATATTAGCCCTTAAACCTTAAAAGCAGCAGTTTTTCGTGTTCGCGGCAGGGAAGGGGTAGGGTCGTGAGCTTTTCTAGGTTTTATATGTTATGCACCGCACATGTCTCTTCGGTCGGCAAACAGACAAGCCGCCGGCAGCGCAGGGCCACAGCACTTTTGAAGCTCTCCAGTTCGTACGACGCAAGTAGTGTCCTCATCACCTTTTCTATGTATTTCTCTCGATTTTTAAAATGCAAGCTGTGTCACCCTCTTCTTGTCGTTGTAATGCTCTCCAAATCTTAAATCGCACACAGGGTCCCTCTTGTCTTCTCAGTTTTGCCCTAGCGTCTCCAATCATTAGCAGCGTCCCCATGATATTCAGCGCCCTCGGAAAATTGAATGGCAAGCGGTGTCATACTTTGTTCTCCGGATTTGAATGCTCTCCAAATCTCAAATCGCAAGCAGGATCCTGATCATTTTTCTTTTGTGAAGCCCAATATTGCCAATATTGTTCAGTCGCAAGCAGTGCCCGCTCCTTCTTGTTCTTCTTTGCCTTTTGCCAATCATTTGTTCTTTGTAAAGATGGTTAAATGGCAAGCAATGTCACCCCTCTCGTGATTTTTCATGTTCCCTAAATCTAATCTAAGCAGCGCCCCCATCACCGTTTCGGTGTTTACTTCTCTCGACATGATAAATCGCAAGCAGTGCCACCCCTCTTCTTACCTTAAATCGCACAGGGGGTGTGATTGTTTTCTTCTGTCTTTATTGCCCTCCAAACCTTAGTGGCAAGCAGTGTCCCCTCACCTTGTCCGTTTTGAAAATTGAAAAAAGCCTTAAATCGCAAGCAGTGTCACCCTCATCTTGTCTTTCTTTAATCTTCTCTTCTTTTTGGATGTGAATATTCTCCAAATCTTAATTCGGAAGCAGCAGCAGCCCCCCCCCCCCCCGTTTATTTCTTTTCCAGTGTCCCTTATCGCCTTTTCTCCTTTTGAAGCTTTCGAAATATGATTTCGCAAGCAGTGTCACACGTTGCTTTTTCCCGAAACCGCTCTGGGGTTGACTTTCGTGGTATCGATGACGGAGGAGAGGGCGCGGGGCGGGTAGGTTACCGAAGGAGAGGGCGTGGGGAGGTTGACAGGGGAGGTTGTGGTCGCGGGGACGTTGATGCGGGGAGGAGGCCGTGTTGACGGCGAAGGCGCGGGGGAGCCGTAGACAACGTTGTGGAGCGCGATCTTTGGTTGACGGGGGGACGCGGGGAGGCCGTACACAAAGGTGGGAGCGCGGCCATATCCGGTTGGCGGGAAGGGTGCGGGGTGTCTCATGCAACAAGCAGTCCTGAGCCACGGCATGCCGATATCATACTGCTCGCGAGTGTTGCGCCACATGGCACCACTTCGGCAGGGCCATAGCTGACAGGGGTTTAGGGCTTCATGCTTGTCATTTTTGGTACCTCTGTGTGGGGCATGATTGTTCTCGGTTGGGTTTTCGCGAAGGCCCTCGTTTTTTTGAACCGAAAGAAGCGTTCCGATCGTTTGTTCTTTTGTAGTCAACGGCTACCAACATGTTCAATCGCAAGCAACGCCCCCCCCTCTCTGGCACCAGTCTTCTTTTTGCTCTCGAGGTTCTAAATGCAGGCACTGTCACCATCACCGTCATGTTAAAACGCAAGCAATGTGCCACCTCTTTGTTTTTCGTCTGGTCAGAAACCCAGAGCACAAAGCTCAAACCACATTTTAGGGTTTATGTTCTCGACCTTCAGGCCCAAAGCAGGGCCCAAATCCCGAGGCATGTGTTCTTTGTTGCTCTTGACGTGTGTTGGGCGCAAGAGCGCTGGGATTGGGAGCTTCGCCGAGAAAACCGCGCCACCGCACGAGACAGCTGAAGTCATGCGCAGGTGTACCCAAAGATGACTGGCTACTCACCACCGGTGAAGAAGAAGAGCACCAGCGTGCAGGATGGGGGTGCTTGTTGTTCAGGGTTTAGGGTTTAGGAGCAGGCTTGAATGAATGACGCTGCGTGGAACGAATTCCAATTCACCACTGCCACCCCTTGGAATGACACTGGCTTGAGTTAAGAATTTTGCAGCGTGCTTGCCCTATAGGAGAGGTTGCACCAGCTGTAATAAAAGCTTAAGTAAGCAATGCCAGGGCTCATTGGTCAAGATGGCATACGAACGCTTGCCGGAGAGGCGGACTCGGGTCATGGCTGGCGCATAGCACCCTCGAAGAGTCGCAGCGTGAAGGGTTTAGGGTTTAGGGTTCAGGGTTCAGGGTTTAGGGTTTAGGGTGTAGGGTGTAGGGTTTCGGGTTTAGGGTTTAGGGTTTATGCGCCCACGGCTCACAATGCGACTGATGACGACGCTCGCTGCACATGTGTTCATGGACATGCTGACAGTTTGAAGGCACGTCGCTCTCCCACTCATTGAGAGGCTTTTCTTCTCCCAGTTTGCCATGACTGCCATCTCCCTCGGTGCCCTAGCGAGCATGAAGCCTGGGTCCGGGCCTTGCTGACAAGGGAGGCCTGCAAAACCTACTTGGGGGTTCATGGCACCTTTAGTAACCAGTTCTACCTGAACTTCTAACCCACTTCGAAGCCCCTCAAGTGCCCTAATAGGGTTACAAGTACAGTTATAAGTACAGTGATAACGGGTAAATACGTACCATGAACCTCCAAGTAAGCTTTTGAAGCTACATCGCGGCTTCGTGAATTGAATCTTTGCCCGAAGATCCCTGAATGGGGATCCAGGGGTAGGTTAGGGTTTAGGGTTTAGGGTTTAGGGTTTAGGGTTTAGGGTTTAGGGTTTAGGGTTTAGGGTTTAGGGTTTAGGGTTTAGGGTTTAGGGTTTAAGGTTTAGGATCAGAGGTCCCTCCGCGCATTCGCTGGATTTCGCGAGCCTTCTCAGATTTGCGCGCCCGCTCAAAAAATTGAAAAGGCCACGTCACTTGGAGAAAATTGACGAATGTGTGGCGGGCCCTTTGATTTAAGGTTTAGGGGAATGTTTAATCGTTATCACCCTTAATTCCATACATAATCCCTTATCAGCCACAAAAAAGTTGATTTTTTTCGGGGGCCCCCAAACTCCCCCAAGGATCCTTCACCGTCGTCATGGACCGTAAGCGCGCGATCTAATCTGAGGCAGCTCCCTGGCCAGCTGGCACGCATTCCGCCAGGCTTCAGTGACAGTGCTCAGGCACCCATGGGGGGATGAGGGGAAGAGCAAGCTCTCTCTGGCCCTTTTTGCGCGCGAAGTACTTGCATGGGGCATCTGAATCCTGCGGCTAATTTCGACATTCCTCTTCCGACCGAATTGTTGCGAAGCCATCTGCTTGAAATTGTTTGGAGTCTGAAGAATGGACTCTTCCCTTTGCGGGGCAGGTGTATGGCATCCTGATCTTAAGCAGCAGGGCCGATGGCAGCACCGGCCTGATTTGCGCCAGGTTCCGGCAATTTGATATAAAATTCAATGCAATTGTCTCGCGATTCTTGTTGTTCTCGACCGCAACGCTTTCTGCAGGCCCTGCTTGTTGGGATTTTGGGGTTTGGGGCAATCCTAAACCCTAAACCCTAAACCCCTAAACCCTAAACCCTAAACCCTAAGCCCTAAGCCCTAAACCCTAATCCGATTCAAGAAGCTTGCGCAGAAGAAATCTGCCAGTCATCTGCTCGACGCTGCGGTCATTGGAGCTCGCTGCCGCCGGCGCCTTGTGGGGGCATCCATATCCCCCTTGGGAATTATTTTTTCATTTGTATTTATATAAAGCCCAAGAGGATATTAAAAATATCATTTTTATTAAGGTTTTAAGGTGAGTATAGGCATGAGCGGAGCATGGGGCCAGTGGGGATGCCAAAGCCGAGGCGTTGAGTGTCTTCTGAAGTGTCGACCTTCACCGTTTGCGTTGCTCTGTTCTGGGGTGACACTTTGGGGGCTTACGAAATCAGGGACCCCTCCCAATAGAGATCCCCAACTAGTAGGACCCCCTTATGATAAGGACCCCAATAAGGTACCCCTCGTGTCGTCAACCCCCCCACTTCAGTAGTCGATGAGATAACCCTAAACCCTAAACCCTAAACCCTAAACCCTAAACCCTAAACCCTAAACCCTAAACCCTAAACCCTAAACCCTAAACCCTAAACCCTAAACCCTAAACCCTAAACCCTAAACCCTAAACTCCCTTTGATTGGGGCCATGTGGAGCCTTCTAAGATCCGCGTGGACCTGGAGACTGATGATCTGCTCATGGAGCTGGACATCGACACAACGTGAGCGCAGCCGTTGTTGTGCTTATTTCCCCACCACAGAGGACATAATGTAATGATTTAGAATGAGAAGTAACAATGATAGCAAAAAAGTAACAATGAGGAAAAACTAGCAGTAGCAGGTAGGAAGAATAAGAGTAAGTTAGCTAGATTAAAGTACCCGATAACTGTAAATGTAATATACATATCTGAAACGAGTTGATGCTTGAATTGAATAGACAAGAGCAACTCTGTCCGAGAAGCCGAGGTGAGTAGCATCCTGAGATACCCTACGCTTGTGGAGGTACAAGATCGACAAAATCCGGCCAGAGGAGAAGGAAGTCTATCTGAAGTTTGAAAGGCCGATCGATATCTGCGGGTCTTGCGGTTTGGATTCCAATCTGCTGTCTGCATCCGTTGCAGTTTAGTCAAAGGGTGCTGGGGAGGCCCAAATGTAACACGCGCCAGAGTCTTCCATCAGCCGAAGCTCGCTCAAAACAACGCCTTTCGCGACCTGGACACTGAGAACCCCAAGACCCCCTAAACCCCAACGCATTACATTTTCAGCCCACAGGTTTCATATGGGTAGTTTCCTAAATCAGGGTCCATTTTGGGGTACCCATTATCCTTCTAAAGGGGTCCCAAAAGGGGACCCTAGTTTAGAGAACTACCCATATCAAGCCCTGCCCACGGGCGTTCGATCCCCAAGTATCCGACCTGAGAGGTCGAAGAGGCAACTCGGGGGTCTTCACTTTGTGGCCAGCATCCCAGGGTTCCCTAGCATGGGTTTAGGGTTTAGCGTTCAGGGTTGAGGGTTGAGGGTTTAGGGTTTAGGGTTTCGGGTTTAGGTGTCATGACTGGGCACGTGCATAATATCGCTGGACTCGCGCTTCGTCGTCCAGACCTTCCCTCCATCCCCTCTGCCCCGACCCCGGACCCGGGACCCGCACGCGGGCGCGGATTCGGACCCGGACAGGGAGGGGCCTGGGCCGGGCCCTGTGTAGTTTGTCGATTTAGGCATGATGCTGGCGGGTGGCTTTAAAAGCCAGGGGGGGGGGTTGGGGAACCCCCCCCCCCCCCTCCACCCCATGTTAACAACATCACGCTTGCGCGCGTGAGTGAGGACTTTGGAAATGACACGCACGGGTGTTGCAAAGTTTTCATGGCATACTGTTCTTATACAAAGTGAGCGTCTTGAAAAGCGGGGGGGAGTGGGAGGGGTTAGGGGAGGGCGTTGCCCCCTCCGTCTCATTAGCAAGCACAATGCTAGCGCTGCACGCCGTGCAGTTACGTCATTTTAGCAGCCTTGGCAGTTTAGAACCCCTAAATGCACATTGGGACTAACGTCACGCGCCTCTTTTTCCCGCCCCACCCGCCGCCCCCTCCCTTCCCCCCCGGAACCTGGCCAGACCCGGACCCGGACCCGTGCAAGCAAAACGTTCTCCCCAGCACATGGCCTTGAGGCTTCGTTTTTTCAGGCTTGTGTGCCAATACCTTGGGCCCACGCAGGTTGCAAAGGTTCGTTGTGCATTCATTTGTACCTTTTTTCTTTTGCTTCAAACGGTTATGACGGTTTACACTTTTTGGGATATCGATTCTCTTCTTTAGGTGCTAAGCATCTTTTCAAGCTTCTGGTTCCAGGGTTCGCGTATGAAGAACGTTTGAGTTATTGAGTTGTCGAAGCTGAAGGCATGGTTTTTGGAGAACTCGGGCTGGCCACCGGGGACTGGTAAGGGAGCTGAGACGGATGGCCGGCTGCAGCAGAAATCCGAGGACCGCCGACCGGCGCACGAAGCCGGGGGGAAGCTATAGCTGAACCTTAGGAATCTTAGGAATCTTCGGAATGTTCGGAATCTTCGGAATCTTTAGGAAACTTTCGGAATCTTGAGGAAACTTTCGGAATCTTAGGAATCTTCGGAATCTTAGGAATCTTTTGGGCTCAGGCCGTGCACGATGCAATCTCCGGAGGTGAGCCGCTTCTTCCAATTGAGGCGTCGCCGGGTCATGCTCATCTGTTGCTCAAAGGGGGGCTTTCTGGGGTTTAGGGTTTAGGTTTAGGGTTTAGGGATGTTTAGGGTTCAGGGGGGTACCCTTTTTGGGGGTCCCATATGAAGGATAACAGTATTTGGGGGTACATTCGGGTACCCCCTATTCTGGGAACTGCTCATATGTTCGCATATTCGGATACTCGGGAATGTAGTCAGCAACTTGCTACTTCCTCGAATGCCCGCGGAATGCCCATGGTATCCTTGAAGCTTGAAAGGCAGATGACATGGGCCCGGGGGAGGGCTGCATCACCGGATTGCTGCAAGCTCAAACTCGCGTTGCGCTGCATGAGTGTGCGCAGATCGTGTTGCGTTCCATGTGGTCAGATTGGCCCCTGCCTTCCGAGGTGGACGCTGATAGACTACAGCTTGCAGGCAGGCTGTGTGCCCGATTTGCCAAATGCCACAGATCTGGCGCACCTATGACACTCTGACTCATATCCTTCGGTGCAAACCAAGCTGCAGTGAACATATGGGAAAATCCTGTACCCCAAAGGAATCCTCAGCACGCACGCAAGCCCGCTCTGCGCAGGATGAGGATGCATGAGGATTAGCCCTCGGCTACATCGCAGAGTCCAGACCACACCCCATGTCTCCGCCCGCATGGAAGAGTTTTGCACCTGAATTGTTTAAAGCTGTGCAACAGATCTCAGCCCAAGCAAGAGTGATCCCGTTGCGTTGAAGGCAGCGTGTGATGGAACGTGGAATTGTTCCGCTGGGCTGAAGTATGCTGGACAGTTTTCGCTTAGGTTTTTCGAGTTCTCCATGTGGAGCATCAGATGCGCCTCCCAGCTGGTGAGCACCTCGTGTGTGCAAGAGAGGTCCATCGGTGCATGCACGGCTGAACGCCTGCACCTTTCCCATCAGAAGTCGTCTGCACACCAACATGTATACGTCTCATGGTTGCGCCAAGCGCCAGACTCTCTCATCTCCCACTGTGGCCAGAAAAGCGACAATCCGAGTGATCTGTTGTCCGCTTGTCGGACCATGTTCCGAAGTTTCGTGCTCTTGTGGCTCGCCTTGAACATCGCACGAACATTGTACAAGAAGTCGTGTTCCCAAGCCCAACGGTGGCATGTCCCCAATTCCTCAGCCCTAAAGCCCGAAAGGTGAAAACGAACAAAAGTGCCTCAATGGATGTCTCATCTTCGTGATGTGGCTTACAGGGGTTGAATCGAAACCCTCGGAAACGCTGGACTTAGTGCTTGTTTTTCTTTTTGGATCCGAGTGTTTTCCGGGCCTTTCAAAATCTTCGCTTACCAGAAGTCAACATGGTAGTTGCAGCTCAAGGTTGTTTTCGGGTTTAGGGTTTGGGGTTTAGGGTTTAGGGTTTAGGGTGTGGGTTTTAGGGTTTAGGGTTTGGGGTTTAGGGATTAGGGTTTAGGGTTTAGCCTCATGGTAAATTGATAGAGAAAGCAGTCCAGAAGGCTGAGATAGATGCCCTGTTTCTTTATGCTGTCTGAATGCGGAGCCATGCCCTTCTTGCACTCAAGCAGATCTGTTTCGGAAAGTTCGTGCTGAGCATTACTTGTAGCAGCTGGAGGCGTAACACATGCCCCCTCAACCCAGGCGTGCTGGAAGACAAGCTGCCTGTCCCACCTGTCCCAAGCTCACCAAGAAATGAATGCCCTTCTCTTCCCGGCCCGCAGCATGCGAGCGTGGTCCACGTTTTGTGTGCGATAGCCCGTGGCGTAAGAGAGTACATGCGGGGGATGGGATGGGTAGGGTAGCGCCGGCGTAGCGATGTAGCCCTCTCGGCTACTGAAGCCAGGCAGGGCTTCGCCCAGATGTCAGGGACAATATAATGTCATATAAGACAATATAGCTTAGTATAGTATAATCTAATCTAATGTAGTATAAAATAATTTAATCTAATATAGTATAATATAATACAATACAATATAGTAGAGTAGAATATGGTGTAATGGAATAAGATATAATGAGCAAGATGATGAGCAAGATGAGTGGTTCAGTGGAGTTCAGACGGCCATCGGCCAGGTCATGCCGCGAGCAGCTGTGCTGTCTGCCCCTCAGTTTGTGCCACTCAGAACCCTAAACCCTAAACCCTAGACCCTGAACCCTAAACCCCAAACCCTAAACCCGAAACCCTAGACCCTAAACCCTAAACCCTAAACCCCAAACTCTAAACCCTAAACCCTAAACCTAAACCCGAAACCCTAGACCCTAGACCCTAGACCCTAAACCCTACCGATGCTGGTCCTCGTGTCCGACTTGACAGGCGATGGCCCGGCCACCGGAAGTTGTGTCCTCAGAGGCGTAACATTGGGATGTTCGCCCTATACTAGCAGTCCTTAAGAGGGATTCTAGGGGGGGTACTAGCATCCCTATTGCGGACTTGTTTCTAGGGGGAGCATCCCAAGCGTCATGGATTGTGCTGCAGTGTAGTGCAGTGCTGTGAAGTGCAGGAATCGCGTGTGTTAACTAGTAGATATTCAGGGGCGCCGTCAGGGCTGTGGAGGAAGAGCTTCGGATCTGTTGGGATTTGCGGGGCTCTGCCATCACACCTGGTCCTGTTGCACCACACCGCCAACTTGAACAATAAACCCTAAACCCTAAACCCTAAACCCTAAACCCCAAACCCTAAACCCTAAACCCTAAACCCTAAGCCCGAAACCCGAAACCCTAAACCTGTGGCCAAGGGACGTCAGCCTGGAGGTCCTATCGCTGCAGGAGGAGGTGCAGATCCTGCGGGAGGCGGGTGAGCATTGGAATTCCAATCATGGCTGCCACTCAATAAACCCTAAGCTCTAAACCCTAAACCCTAAACCCTAAACCCTAAACCCTAAACCCTAAACCCTAAACCCTAAACCCTAAACCCTAAACCCTAAACCCTAAACCCTAAACCCTAAACCCTAAACCCTAACCCTAAACCCTAAACCCTAAACCCTAAACCCTAAACCCTAAACCTGTGGGCCAGCTGGGTCCCTGCAGCCAGTATGGGCAAACCGATCTCTCGGCATCATCCCAGGCAGGGCTAACCCTAAACCCTAAACCCTAAACCCTAAACCCTAAACCCTAAACCCTAAACCCTAAACCCTAAACCCTAAATCCTAAACCCTAAACCTAAACCCTAAACCCTAAACCCTAATGAATCAATCATTCCTGAACCTGCTGTGAGCTGGAAGTACAGCCACCTGGAGCTGTCAGACACAAGGAGATGCACTTCATGCACTCTGCACTGTGCACATGCTCGAAATGTTGCACAGCCCGGAGTGCTGACATGTTAGTGTTTGGGCAGCAGGAAATGCAGTTGTTTACGGCGTTGGAGGTCGAACGTCTCGACCTGGTGTAACTTACATCGTCTGGGAGCGGTGGAATGCATGCCGCAATTTACCACGTTTGGAGTTGCCGGATGCCAGGAAATGCTGTACTTGCATTGAATACCAGTTTACTTTCAGGTAATACCCCTTGATCTCTACAGACCACATGTAGTACCATTTGATTCTGTCTTCTATCACTTGCTATCATGAAGACCTCATTGAAATCATTGAGTCTCGTTTAAACTCGTTTAATGTCACTTGACATTGCTCAAAGCCATGTAATATCATGAAGCACCAATGCAGTTTTCAACTCCCTTGCAACACGTTGTAGTACACGCGATGCATTTTCTACAAATAGCATGTGCCATGATGAGGTCATGTGAACTTGCATGGCAGATGGGAACATATTGAGAAGCCTTATGCTGACATGACATGGTTTGTTTGTGCCAAGACCCAGGGCTGGATCGGTAGGACTTGTGCCCGAGCGTCGGCAGCGCTCTTGCCCTGCTGGTCGGCATTGTGGAACCGATGAGTGCTTCTCGCGATCATCTTGCCGATGTTTCGGCGCGCTGTCACACGCGTCCTGTAGTCGACGATGCTCGACGCGAACTCGGAGCCGCTTGGATTCCCGCGTTCCCAGATAAGCCCCGATTCGGCTGATGGCGGCGTCATTGGCCGGAAAACTGCTTAAGTTTCTGTTGCCGAATCAGAATTCTGACTCCTAGCCGAGCGTCTGGAACCACTGCATGCTGTGCACTGCCTGTTTGTAGGAGGCCGATGAAGCTGCTGAGAACATGGAGTGGCTGCGCCATGGTTGCGGGAAGAGAGCTGGCCATGACCTGGCAATTTCCTGCAGTCTTCTGTCGCAGATGCGTGCCGTAGGTAGCAAAATACAAATGCATCATAGGGCCAGTTAGTGCAGCTACCAGTAGCAGCCGTGCATTGCACAGCCCCGTAGTCACAAAGCTAGCAGCTCGCCAGGCTTGCACGTATGGCTGCGAAAACGCTCGAGGAGATCGGGGCTAGCGATTTGACGAACCTCAACTTGATTGACTAGTTGCATTGAGCTTTGACTTACGAGGAACGGGAGCAAAGTGAGAGTTTGGGGGGAGTTCTGCTGCAGAAGCCCTTCTTTGGTTGGATTCCCGATGTTGCGCAGGAGCAGTTTCGCGCGGAGCAAGCCGTGGCAGAGCGCCTCCAGTCAGAGAAGGCCGAGCGGAGCTTTGCCAGAACGGTTGCCGTGCTGTCCGTTAGAGCTTGCCATATAGCTTTTGTGTTCTGCAGGCCCAGCGCTGGCCTGCACCCGATCAGGCATACGGCACGGAGCATATACATGATATTGTAGAGGCTGTTCGATCGGTTTTCTTGTTCGTCGCTGTTGTTTTTGAACCTTATAAACCCTAAACCCCTAAACCCTAAACTCCAAACCCTAAACCCTAAACAATTTTGAGGTTGTGCACTGCACGCGGTTCTCGGGCCTGCAGACAGTATGCAGCCTTGCGTGTATCATAGATCGGCCTTTGTTCAAGCAGGACCTGGACACACTACCCTGAACAACCCTATGACCCTATGATTCACATACAGCCGCGGACCCCTCAATATATGGCCCCAGCCAAGTTGTTTGCAGGTATTCATTCACGTGAGAATTTAACCCTATCTAGGGTTTCCCTAGACCCCCTTTACCCTCCCCCCCACTTGGGCCCCCCCCTAAACCCTAAACCCTAAACCCTAAACCCTAAACCCTAAACCCTAAACCCTAAACCCTAAACCCTAAACCCTAAACCCTAAACCCCCTAGACCGCCATGGAGAAGCCTGAGAAGCCAAAGCGCTGGGCAAGTGCAAAGGGTGCTGCTCCCATCGCTCCCGCCGGTCCCTCACCGATGCCGGCGGGCCTTCGGGAGTTGGAGCCAGGTCGGGCCCAACATGCCAGGGTGTAGGGTTTAGGGTGTTTGGTGTTTGGGGTTTAGGGTTTAGGGTTTGGGGTTTGGGGTTTAGGGTTTAGGGTTTAGGGTTTAGGGTGCGGAGCTGCAATTGGTATTGTAGAAAAGAGTTGGTATTGGAGGCTCAAGGGTCAATGAACCCGATAATCGTTGGCTCAAGCCATGACCAAAGCGGTCGAAGATTTCGTAAAAAGTGTGCCCTTGGTTTGGGGTCTTGCTGTTCGGTTGTTGGTTGTTCCAGGGGTATTAAGGGCTTCTGTTGGGGTTGACTGTTTTGTTCCCTGTCCTCCTTCGGTTGCCCCCCGTAGGTTATGAGCCCAAATTAGGCTTCCTGCGGAATTGGTAAAGATTTTTCGTTTGTTTAACGCCATGGACATGATGCGGCGTCGCTCTGAGCCTGGACTGTCGCCAACGGCCAATGAAGCCGAAGGAAATCGTGGTGATGGGGGTGAAGATCGACAACAAATGGTACAAGCACTGACAGATGGTAGGGAGGTTGCAATGATACAACCAACGCCTCAGGTGGAAAACGAAGTGGTTCCGGTTCAAGCAGCAAATCCTTTCTGGAGCGAGCGGGCTCAAGAAGACATGAGACTTAGGCAGTCAAGGCCGGCAAGTCTTCCCGCGAGCGGAGGGGACAGGAGTGGTGAAGGTACGAGAAGACCGCCTTCGCTGCAAGATCTTTTGGGTCAGGAACCTGCACCTGTTGAGAGACCATCGTCAGGCTTAATGGGACAAATGGAACGAGGTACTATTGGTGGAGTGCAAGCCGACGAAGAACTCATTCCTGATGTTAGTGGTGAAGAGCAATCTGAAGATATGGCGGTGGTGAAGCGTGCGCTGAAAGAGTTGCTTGTGCAGACAAAGGAGCTGGGGAACAGGTTGCATCGGGTGGAGGAAAAAAGCTATACCTCTGCTGCATCTGGGTCAGCTTCAAGGGCACGGAGCTCTGGAGTGGTGGACGCAAACACGGCATATCCTCTAGGAATGACTCCAGAGAAGCAGTACCTGCCAGGACAAGTTTTCTACACGGATGGTATGGGTGGTTTTTGGACTGTGTTGCCTGATGGGACATGGCTGCCTATTGAGGGCTACGACCTGCCAAAGGGTTGTGATCTTCAATCCTTGCCTGGGTCCAGGAAGGGGGATGTTCAAGTGGAGGACGAAAAAGAAGTGCCAATGATGCATGTGGCTGAAGGGAAGAAGCCCTCCAGATTGCCTCCATTGAATTACCCCACGGGAGGTCCTGCAAGTGGTGGATATGCAAGTGGACCACCTGGTTTAACACATGTTCCGATTACTTCCGTGCCATCAGGGGTTGATGGTTCTGTCGCACCTGCGGGGAACCAGCCCGGTTTTGTTTCAGCTCGGGAAACTGCAACGCGAGAGAACTCAGCAGGATCGGGTGGATATACAATGGTGGATGATGTAGGGCGGCAAAGGTGCGAAATGGGGAAATGCCAAAAAGGCAGAGGTAGCTGAAGGGGGAGATGAGACGGCTAATGCGGGATTGGATAAAGGTTCTGCAAGTCCCTCATCACCATCAACACCCAATCAAGTCCTTGCTGAAGCGTTGGAAGTGCTGAAATCTATGAAGCTGTCATCAGCGCAGTCAGCATCGAGCGGGGATCCCAGTGTTCGAATGTTATGTGGATCTGGATTGTTTCAGCAGGAAGGGAGAGTGGCGTTGGTGGATACGGCTGCTACGCATCTTGTGCGGACGCTTTTTCCATGGGAATGTTTACCCGACACTACTGTTATGGTGCAAAGCGCGCTTGGTGGTGTGGCAATGAGGATTACAGAGAAAGGGACGTTGATTAGGGAAGACAATGGGCCCCTGATTATCCCTCTCTGGTTGATTTTGGAGTTTGGGGCGAACCTCACGGTGATCAATGGGATGTGTCACGTGGGTGCAAAATCTTCGCTGGACCAGCTCTTGTGGTTTGAACATGGCTGTTTGGTTATGGATTACAAAACAGCTGAAAAAATGGTTTTGCATGCTGAAAGGCAGCGTGCGTCTTGGTCCCATTCTCAATGGAGGAATGGAAGGGCGGACTGTGGAGTCGGTTCGTCGGATGCCACGTTGTTGCCGAAGCAGGGAGAAGGCCGAGGAGTATGCGTTCTACATGTGGCCAGGGTTTCTGACACCAATGAGTGTTCGGGAATGGGCATGTTGGACTCGGGAGCATCACATCCTCTCAGATCACTTCGTCCTGGAGAACAGCTTCCGCAGCAAAAGGTGTTGGTGTCTTTAGCTGTTGGATCTCGGGAGATGTGTATTACCCCAGGTGGGACCCTGGTAACTCCTGAAATGGTAGATCCACTAGTGCCAATTGGCAAAGCGAGCGCCTTGGTTGGTCTCAGAGTTCAGTGGCGTGGTGGCAAGTGCACAGCCTCACATCCTGTTCTGGGGGAACTTCGCGTTCGTGATCTGAATGGGTGCCCTTGTTTGGAAAAGGAGGTGGCGCTTCAGATCATTGATGAAATGGATTGGTGCTCACCAAAGCAAGCTTTGAAGGTGGCACGTATGGTTCAAGGGTGTCCGAATACGGACAACGAGGTGGCTGTAAAAACGTCGTTGCAAAGCGCAGCGCGGACAGCGTCAGCGAATGAGGAGGAGTTCGTCCAGGCATGCTGGAGATTTCTTCGGTGGTATTATGGGGATATACCAGAAAATATGCTGATGGAGCTGTTGCCACGTGGAGATATTGCGGCGTTGCCTTTCAACCGTCATAAAAGGAGACGGCTGGCACGAGCAAAAAGGGTGGTGGTACACCTATTTTCGGGAAAACAAAAATGGCATTTTCCCAGTCGGGATGTGGAGGTACTGGAGCTGGATTTGACAAAAGGCGGTGACCTACATAATTCGAGCGTCTGGAAGTATCTTCTGCATCTGGCGGCTGAAGGACCACCTGTATTACGCCGACGCTGTGGGCCTGAACGGTTGGGGTTAAAAAGTCTTCCTTGGCCACATCAAGAATTAGCTCAAAAGGATGGTGTTTTACTTCTGAAGATGCTTTTCCTATATGACGTGGCGGTGCATTCAAGGTGTGGAACTGCTGAAGTCATCAATGGGAGTTCTGTCTTTTTTGGCATGGAAAGCCCTGGGGACCCTGAACTCATAGGGAAAGATTTCTCTCAGAACGGCAAAACGGTCTTGAGTGCTGAGGATCTGGTGGATGGTTCTCAGGAAGGGCTCTCAAGTCCTACCTTCTGGAGTTGGCCAGAGGTGAAAAGTTTTTGTGAGCGTTATGGAATGTACGCTGCACACTTTGATCAAGGAGCATTGGGACATGCTCTGGTGAAACCTACGACTTTCCTGGTGTCTGATATGGAACTATGGGAATCGTTGGAACAGGTTCGCGTGGTTGTTCCGTGGTCAGCAACATTCGCTTCTACCCTGGAAGAGCGTATTGGACAATCCTCTATATGGGCGCGATGGGCGTTTGGATTGGTTAAAAGAATACGTCACAGGTTGGCACAATGGTTGCATGAGAGCGATGCTGAACAGGAAGCTGCGGTGTTACAAAAAGAAGAACGAGAAGGGACGTTACGGAGGTTGACGACTGAGGAGCGAGCTTTCCGTGACCATTGCCTAAGGGGGCATATTCCCTTCAGACGTGATTGTCAAATCTGTGTGTCTGCTGCTGGAAAAGAGCGTCGCCATTTGAGGCGAAAGCATGGGGATGCTTACACTTTATCATTGGACTTAGCTGGTCCATACAAGTGTTCAAAGGATGCTCACCAGCAGAAGCCACGACACGCTGTTATTGGTGTGTATCAATTTCCAATGTTGGATCCCAATGTGGGTCGCCCTCCAGAAAAGGAGGAAGATGCGGATGAGGTGGAAGATCAGGTGGCAGATGAAGGTGCTGGTGTCGGAGAATGGTTAGGCGATGCAGTCGCTAACTTCGAGGAGGAAGACTCTGCGCCGGTGGAACCTGCGCCAGTTCTGGAGGCAGAGGTGTTGAAAATCCAAGCTTCTGAAAAATCCTGGAAGGAACTGAAGGACCACTTGACCCAACCTGTCCGTATGATCAACTTCGTTATGGTGGAGCCGATTGTGGATAAACAGCAAACAACTGTTTTGTCGGCAGTTCAAAGAATGATGGTGCGCTTGCAGAGACATGGGTATCCGGTGTTGAGAATCCACTCAGATCGAGCGGGGGAGTTTGTCAATGCACGCTTCCGGTCCTTTTGTGAAACTCGTCTGATATATAGGACCACTGGTGATCCTGGAGTCCCGCAAACAAATGGGCGCGCTGAAGCATGTGTGGGTTTATTCAAACGTGGTGTCAGGTCGCTCTTAAAGGAGGCGCGACTCGGGCCGGCGTACTGGGCACTGGCTGCTCGCCATTGGTCAATGTTACGGTGGCAGAAAGCTGAAAGGGAGTTGGGGTTAAATCCTAAAGCATTGCTTCCCTTTGGTGCTCAGATTCAAGTCAAACGTCGTCCGTGGGAGTTGCTGGGTCCGGATGGAACAAAGAAAGGTCGGCAATGGGTCGATCGTACGCAGCCTGCGCTTCTTTTGGGTCCATGCGATGACCTACCTGGTGGTTATTGGGTGGAAGCTCAAGGGACTGCAAAAGATCCGGATGAACTGGTGTTATTTCCCTGCACTACGATTTTTTCCAATATAAAGGAACCGCCTGAATTGGAGCTGGAAGGGGTGGTAGAAGAACAGGAGCCTTCTCCTCCAGAGCATCGTCTCAAGGGGAAAAAACCGGCGCTTCGGTTTGCGGATGAGGAAGGACCTCCTTTACCTCCGCCTCGAGATCCTCCAGTTCGCCATCGGTTGATGGAGAAAAGCCCGGCCTCTTCACTGCGTGGTCATGTGGGCTCCTTGCGCTTGCTTCGCAAGCGGGGGGAGAGTCCGCCCTTAGAAATTTTTGAGGATGACATGCAGGGTCTGGGGGAGCTGGAAGAAAATGCAGATGTTGAGGACAATGTTCCTGGTGATGAGTATTGGCC